GCAACAAGGCTGCCTCTGCTGCCGGCGTCAAGGCCCGAGGGGAGGTAATATGAGTATCTCCTTCCAGGACATCAAACAATGGCTTTAAATCAGCAGAGGGGATTTTTAAAAACGGTCGCAGCCAATTAATATCTCCTAACAACTTTTGGAAATCATTTAACGTTCGCAAATCATCCCTATAAATTTTTATTTTTTGAGGCAGAATCTTTTCAGGAAGAATAACAGAACCTAAAAATTGGCCAGTGTCTGCAATCTGGACCTTCTCAGCGGCTATTTGAAGACCCCATAGCTGTAAACTTTTAACAAGCAGTGGGTAGGCTTCCTTTAGGACCTGTAAGTCCTCATGACACATAAGTACATCATCCATATAATGAACCACGAGCAAACATGGAAACCGTTCACGAAGCGGTTTAAGAGCCTCCTGCACAAACATCTGACAAATGGTCGGACTGAGGCACATACCCTGAGGTAGGGTTTTCCATTGAAAACATTTACTAGGCTCTATATGATTAATTGAAGGAACCGTAAAAGCAAAGCGAGGCCTATCAGCAGGATGCAATGGAATAGAAAAGAAATAATCCTTAATATCTATTATTACCAGACTCCAATTTTTGGGCAAAGCTGAAAGCACCGGGAGTCCCCGCTGTACAGGCCCAAAGAGGTGCATTTGTTCATTAACGGCTCTCAAATCATGCAGTAAGCGCCACCTTCCAGATTTCTTTCTAATGACAAAAATGGGTGTATTCCACGGAGAGGTGGATGGTTCTATGTGTCCCAGAGCCAACTGCTCATTAATTAGCTGATTCACTGCTTCTAGTTTTTCAGAAGTAAGTGGCCACTGGGGAACCCATACGGGGGTCTCTGTTTTCCACGGTATGGGCCGTGCTGCCCCAGTGGCGCCTAGGAAAAACCCAGGCCCTGTTTGTCGACATTAGGTTTAGGATTTATTGGCTCCCGTATTCCCTGCTGGGAGCGACCCAAGCCCCTTCCTGGCCTATGACCCATTCTGATCATAATATCTTGGGCCTGAGATGAATATGTATTAGATAAGGTCAGTCCCATGCCCTGCATCACGTCTCTTCCCCACAAGTTGAATGGCAGGGGGAGGACATATGGTGTAAAATATCCCGACTGCCCTTCGTCTGTTTTCCAGGTTAATCTGGTGGAGCTAATGGTGGGGTTTGCACTGTAGCCCAAGCCCTGTAGGGCATGAGACGACTCGGTAACGGGCCAGGACCGTGGCCACCAGTGCGATGAGATAATACTTTTGTCCGCACCGGTGTCCAAAATGCCTTCGAAGCATTTACCATTGACCCAAAGGGGCAGTTTGGGTCGATCGTGAAGGCTAACAACCAAGTAGGCTGAATCCTGTCCTGTTGACCCCATTAATCTATTCTCCGACCTCTGGTGGATGTCTGCCGGGAGAAGCAGTAACTGAGCTATCCTGTCTCCTTTACTGATGGAAAAAACTCCAGTAGGGCAGGAGCATAGGGCTTGTATCTCAGCAGTGTGCTGACTATCAACGAGACCTGGGTGGACGATTAATCCCTGTAGGGTAAGCGAGCCACGTCCAAAAAGCAGGCCCACACTTCCAGGGGGTAGGGGCTCAGGCAGCTGCACAGGGACGGGCTGTACCCCCATTTGAGGCATCAATAAGAATGCACAAGTCCATCCTTGTTCTGCCTCTGAGGGTCCCTCGGTCGTTGCCCTGATGAACTTGTTCCCATATTTTTGGGGGCCCTGGGACTGAGGGCCCGCCATCCCATTTTTTTTGATCATCAATCTGTGGGTTTCCTAATGGTGGGAGGATCTTACCATGGGCGTCCCTAACGGAGCGGCAGAGCTCTGCCCTATGATAACCTTTACCACAGTGTGAGCAAAGCATAGGGGGCGCTCTCTCCTTTTCTGATGACCTACAGTCCCTTTTTAAGTGTCCTGGCTTCCTGCATTTAAAGCAAACTCTTGTGTCTGGCCCTTTAAAAGGGCATCTTTGTGACCACATGATGGCTGCAGCCAAACCTGCATTTGTCAGGGGTCCTCCTAGTTCTCTACAGACCCTGAGCCAGTCCTGTAGCCCTTTATTTTTCCTAGGGGCTATGGCGGCACGGCACTCCTGCATGGCTTGCTCAAAGACAAGCTGCTCAATTAGGGGCGTGGCCATATCAGTATTGCCAAAAATGCGTCCTGCTGCCTCAGTCATTCTTGCCACAAAATCTGAAAAAGGCTCCTGCGTCCCTTGTATAATCTTGGTGAGCGGAGTGCTCCCTTCTCCCTTTTTTGTCAAGGCTTTCCATGCTCTTACAGCTGTATCGGCTATCTGGCGGTAGGCGCCGTAAGGGTAGTTTGTCTGGGCCATGGCGTAGTGCCCTCGCCCAGTCAGGAGGTCAAATGTCCATTGCTGTTGTTCTGGAGTTAAGGCCTGAGCGTTAGCTCTGGCCTGTTCCTGGGCTGCCTCGTGCCACAGAGCTTTCCATTCTAAATATTGACCCATGCTGATGAGCGACGCTTTTGCAACTGCTTCCCAATCTGCCGGAGTCATGGCAGACGAGGCCAATCTGTCCAACTGGGCTAAGGTAAAATTAGCCGTTACTCCATACTTTCTGACTGACTCTGCTAACTCCTTGATTTGGTTGTACTCCACAGGCGCATGTACTCGCCCATTTTCCCCTTCATAAACAGGGAAGGCCAGGTGTAACTTTCTTTTGACCTTGTCAGGCATAAATGAAAAGGTCTTTGGCTCAAGGCATTCCTCATAAGGAGGCGCCAAAGGGGAAGTTGGGGGAGGGCGCGGCTCGCAAGGAGGTGGATGGGCCGTTTGGGATGTCCTCATGGCCCTACCGCTGGCTAATTCTGCCTCCTCCTCTGTATCTAGTTCTTCTACCTCCTCTCCTGAGCCAGAACTCTCGTGCTCATTTTCATGGTCACTTTCAATTTGCAGAGCTTCAAGCCCCTGCAGAGGATATAAACTACTGGTTTTTTCTTTTTTCTTATTATTGATATCAGAAAGCTTTTGACCTTGTAGGTCAGTCTTCTCCCCCATTTTTATTTTCTCAGAACCACCGGGGGGTCCAATTTCCTTATTTCTTTTTCTTGTAGGCGCGCCTAACCTCTCACTGCACTCAGTTTCTGATATGCTATCCTGGACTTCCTCCAATACATTTTGTCCGTCCGCAACAACAGCCTGGCAGGATTTATCTTCTAAGCAATTTTTGGCAAAATATAAGAGGACTACTAAAAGAGGTAGCAAGGCCCCTACGAGACCTTCCCAATGCGGAAACAAGTCAAGCCCCAAACCGAAAAGTCCAAGAATAGTCATACCTCTCTGAGTAAACACCCTGCAGTTCTGAATCCTCCTTGTGTCCAAGGGGTCTCCGGCGGTGCGAGCAGTTGTCAGGGTCCCTCGGCGTCCCGGGGTTTCGAGCACCAGTTGTCCCGCGCTACCTTCTCGCCAGCAAGAACGACGCGGGGCACTTAGGATACTTCTGCAGTAAAGCTTTAATGCGTCTTGAGAGGGAGAGCATCAGCTTCCAGAGCGGAGACCCAGAATGAGGGGAACCCAGCCCTTATAAAGGAAACAGTCCTCGCTTCTGACGTGTCACTCTTGGATTGGTCCGCTGCCCATTATCCCAGGTGATGCCTTGGAAGTAGGCAGGGACGCAGCGGTAGAGAGTTACCAAGCACGTGGGCTGGAATTAAAGGCGTGTGCTACATCACCTTGAACTCACAGAGGTCTGCCTGTCTCTGCCTCCCAGGCATCGGGACCAAAGGCGTGTACTACCACGCCTTGAGGTTGCAGAGGTCAATCTGCCTCTGCCGCCCAGGCATCAGGACTAAAGGTGTGTACTGTCACACCTTGAGGTCACAGAGGTCAATCTCTACCTTTGTTCCTAGAAGCAATGGAGAATGTGGTCCGGCCCTCCACAAGTCAGTAACTTATTAAAATGTTTGCCTTTCTAGAAAGTATTAGCTTTACAGTTTAAGAGGAGTCACTCCAATTTATTATAGACAAGTACAGAATTGGAATGAATGTTTAAGTCTATGGAGGAATTTCAAGGGAGCCCTTAAGTGCTTTCTAATTTTTGTTTCTCTGTTTATTTTGTCAGGCACTATCACACTGTGTACCTTTGGCTGTCCTAGAAATCTTAACATACACCAAGCTTACTTGGAAATCAGAGTTCCTCCTGTTGCTGCCCCTTGAGTGATGTGGGATTCCCCTCTGTATGCTGTGATTATGTTTTGTTACCATTGGTTAGTAAAGAAGCTGCTTTGCCTTATGCCATGGCAGAATAAGGCCAAGTGGGAAATCCTAACAGAGATGTAGAGAGATGCCATGTAGCTACCAAAGGAGAAAGATTTCCCTGGAACCTTAGCAGTAAGCCACAGCCTCAAGATAATACACAGATCAATAGAAATGGGTTAATTTAAGATGGAAGAGCTAGCTAGGAATACACCTATCAACCAAACAGTGTTGTAAATAATACAGTGTCTGTGTGATTATGCAGGTCTAGGTTGCCATAAAACAAACAAGCATTCTCCAGCTACAAATTGGCACCCACTATCGGCGTCATGGATCTACATAAGACCTAAAAATAGCTTAAGAAAAAGGGAGGGCTTCTAGACTCACAAAAATGGGAGCCAAGTGCAGCTTCTTGCTAGTCACATATTTTTTTTTCTGATAGGCTTTGTTTGCTGGCTGCAAGTAGAGGTGTGACTTCTTTTTTTTTTTAAAAAATTACTCATTTATTTATTTAAAATTTCCACTTCCTCCCATCCTCCCATTTCCCTCCCACTCCACCCATTCCCCCTCCCCCTCGCTCTCCAGTCCTAAGAGAAGTCAGGGTGCCCTGCCTTGTGGGAAGTCCAAGCCCCCCCACCTCCATCCTAGGAAGGTATGCATCCAAACAGACTAGGCTCCCAAATAGCCAGTTCATGCAGTAGAATTTAAACTTTTACAATGCAGTCTCATCATTTCTATTATGTATATATTTGGGATACTTTAGGATGCTCTGACCTATGAGGATGTACACGTGAACTTCACTCATGAAGAGTGGGCTTTGTTGGATCCTTCCCAGAAGAGTCTGTACAAAGATGTGATGCTGGAAACCTACTGGAACCTCTCTTCTATAGGTAGGAATATAAACTTTCTGTCACTTTTTAAACTAAAAAGACAAACCTTGGAGATTGGTAGTCTTCTGTGATTCTGAATGTGAAAGAGGAAGAATCAGACATTGTTCTAATGTTCACCAAAGATAGTGATTTTCATTATGCCTAATTTCCAGTAATATATTGTATTATGTACTGTATTTTAGGCTACAAATGGGAAGACCACAATATTGAAGAACGTTGTCAAAGTTATAGAAGACATGGAAGGTAATTTTTATATGCAAGCTGATACATTTGTACCTCTGAAGAAATGTTAATGTACCCTGAAGTTTTAATGAAAAACAGCAGTGTAAATAAGCACAGCTTTGTGGTGATTATTAAATTCTCACAATACCATGCAGTTATCAGATCATTGTTTACAAAGCATTTCTTTAAGAAACAAGATGTCACATTATTTTTACTTTTTAAAAGATTTTTATTTTTATTCATTTTGCACACCAACCACAGCTCCCCTCCCCTCCTCATGCATCCTCCTCACTTCCTCCCACCCACCCCCATCCGCTTCTCTAAAAGGGTAAGGCCTTCCATGGGAAGTCAGCAGGACCAAGCCCCTCCCCTCTGCATCAAAGCTGAGGAAAGCATCCCAAAATAGGGAATGAGCTCCAAAAAGCCAGCTCATGCACCAGGGATAGATGCTGGTCCCACTGCTAGAGGCCCCACAAACAGACCAAGGCATACAAATATCACCCACATGAAAAGGGCCTAGCTCGGTCCCACGTAGGCTCCACAGTTGTTGGTCCAGAGTCTGTGAGCACCTATGAGCTCGAGTCAGCTGTCTCTGTGGGTTTTTCCATCATGATCTTGACACATCTTGCTCATATAATCCCTCCTCCCCCTCTCTGACTCGACTTTTAGAGCTTGGGGCAGTGTTTAGCTGTGGATCACTGCCTCTGCTCTCAGCAGTAGCTGGATGAATGTTCTATGATGACAATTAGGGCAGTCATTAATCTGATTACAGGAAAAGACCAGTTCAGGCACCCTCTCCATCATTGGTAGGAGGCTTAGCTGGGGCCATTCTCATGGATTCCTGGGAATTTCCCTGGCACCAGGTTTCTCACTAACCCCATAACGGCTATCTCTATCTAGATATCTCATTCATTGCTCTCCCTCTCTGTTGCTCCCCCAACTCGACCATTCTGTTCCCTTATGTTCCCATCCTCCATTCCTTCCCCTCTACCACCACACCTCCAGTTTACCCAGGAGATCTTATCTACTTCCCCTTCTGAGAGCAATCAATGTGTCCCTCTTAGGGTACTCCTTGTTACCTAGCTTTTCTGGGGCTCTGGATTGTAGTCTGCTGATCCTTTGCTTTATATGCAGTATCCACTTATGAGTGAGTGCACACCATGTTTGTCTTTCTGGGTCTGGTTATGTCACTCAGGATGATTCCCCCCCCCCTCCTGCCCCGGGCCATCCATTTGCCTGCAAATTTCATGATGTCATTGTTTTTTATGCCTGAAGAATATTCCATTGTATAAATGTACTTCATTTTTCTTTATTCATTCTTCAGTTGAAGGACATCTAGGTTGTTTCCAGTTTCTGGCCATAACAAATAAGGCTGCTGTGAGCATGGTTGAGCAGGTGTCCTTGTGGTATGACCGAGCAACCTTTGGGTATATACCCAAAAGATTATTTTTAGCTAGGTCTTGAGGTAGATTGATTCCCAATTTTCTGAAAAACCACAATACTGATTTCCAAAATGTCTGTACAAGTTTTCATCCCCACCAGCAATGGATGAGCATTCCCCTTATTCCACATTGTCTCCAGCATAAGCTGTCATCGGTATTTTTGATCTTGGCCATTTTGACAAATGTAAGATGGAATCTTAAAGTTATTTTGATTTGCATTTCTCTTATGGCTAAGGATGTTCAGTAACTCCTTAAATGTCTTTCAGCCCTTTGAGATTCATCTGCTGAGAGTTCTTTTTTTAGGTCTGAACCTCATTTTTTATTGGATTATTTGCTTTTTTTGATATCAAGTTTCTTGAATTCTTTATATATTTTGGAGTTCAGTCCTCTGTCTCATGTGGGGTTGATGAAGATCTTTTCCCAATCTGTAGGCTGCTGTTTTCTTGTGTTGACAGTGTCCTTTGCTTTATAGATGTTTCTCAGATTCAGGACATCCCACTTATTACTTGTTTCTCTCAGTGTCCTACTGGTGTTATATTTAGGATGTGGTCTCTTGTGCCAATGAGTTCAAATGTACATCACACTTTCTCTTCTATGAGGTTCAGTGTGGTTGGTTTTATGTTGAAGTCTTTGATCCATTTGGACTTGAGTTTTGTTCATGGTCATAGGTAGGGATCTGTTTTCATTTTTCTACATGTTGATATCCAGTTATGCCTGCCCTGTTTGTTGAATATGCTTTAATTTTATTTTTAAAATTAATATACTTAATTATTAAAGTATATATACATAAAATTAAGATATATATAAAAGATATATATATACACTATATATCTTTTTATTATATTTTTAGCTTTTTGTCGAAAATCAGGTGTGGTGTGAAATGATAACTGGGTCTTCAATTGGATTCCGTTGGTCTTCTTGTCTGTTTTTATGCCAGTAAGAGGCTCTTTTCATTACTATAGCTTTATAGTAGAGTTTGAAGTTCGCGACTGTGACACCTCCAGAACTTCTTTTGTTGTACAGGATTGTTTTGTCTATCCTGGGTTTTTATTTTTCCATATGAAGTTGAGTATTGTTCTTTCAAGGTCTGTGAAGAATTTTGCGGTGATTTTGATGGGCATTACATCGAATCTGTGGATTGCTTTTGGTAAGATTGCCATTTTTTACTGTGTTTAATCCTACCTACCCAAGAGCATGGGAGATCTTTCCATATTTTGGTGTCTTCTTCAGTTTCTTTCTTCAAAGAGTTAAAATTCTGTCATACAGATCTTTCTCTTGTTTGGTTAGCATTACCCCAAGGTATTTTATCTTATTTGTGCCTATTTTGAAGGGTGATGTTTCTCTGATTTCTTTTTTGGCCCATTTATCATCTATATAAAGGAGGGTTACTGATTTTTTGAGTTAATCTTGTATCCTGCTACATTACTAAAGGTGTTTATGACTTGTAGGATTTCCCTAGTGGAATTTTTGGCATCACTTAAGTATACTATCATATCATCTGCACATAGAGTCTGACTTCTTTTCTGATTTATATCCCCTTGATCTCCTTTTGTTGTCTTATTGCTCTAGCTAGAACTTCAAGTACTGTTTTGTGTTAATTGGAGAGAGTGGACAACTTTGTTTTGTTTCTGATTTCAGTGGGATCTCTTTGAGTTTCTCTCCATTTAGTTTGATGTTAACTGTTGACTTACTGTATATTGCTTTTATTATGTTTAGGTATGTTCCTTGTATCCCTGCTCCCTCCAAGACTTTTTATCATGAAGGGTGTTGAATTGTGTTGAAGACTTTTTCAGCATCTAATGAGATGATCATGTGGTTCTTTTCTTTCAGGTTATTTATATGGTGGATTACATTGACAGATTTCCATACAATGAACCATCCCTGTATCTCTAGGATGAAGGTTACTTGGTTGTGGTAGATGATTTTTCTGATGTTTTTTTTTTTTGAATTTGGTTCACTAGCATTTTATTGAGTATTTTAGCATCAATGTTCATGAGTGAGATTAGTGTGTAATTCTCTTTCTTAATAGTGTCTTTATATGGTTTGGGTATCAGGATAACTGTAGCCTATAAAAAGAGTTTGGTAATGTTCCTTCTGTTTCTATTGTGTGGAACAATTTGAGGAGTATTGGTATTAGTTCTTCTCTGAAAATATTGCAGAATTCTGTGCTAAAACCATCCAATCCTGGTCTTTTTTCGGTTGGGAGTCTTTTGATATCTGTTTCTATTCCCTTAGCAGTTATTTGTCTACTTACTTTGTTTATCTGGACTTGATTTAACTTTGGTAAGAGATATTTGTCCAGAAAATTGCCCATTTCTTCTAAGTTTTCCAATTTTGTGGAGTATAGGTTTTTGAAGTATGACCTGATGATTCTCTATATTTCCTCCATGTCTGTTGTTATGTCCCCTTTTCATTTCTGGTATTGTTAATTTGTATATCCTTTCTCTGCCTTTTTGTTAGTTTGGATAAAGGTTTGTCTATTTTGCTGATTTTTCTCAAAGAATCAATTCTTTGTCTCTTTTAATATTTGTGTTGTTTTCTTTGTTTTGATTGTAATCAATTTTAATCAATTTGATTATTTCCTGTCATTTAGTCCCCCTGGGTGAGTTTGCTTCTTTTTACTCTAAAGTTTTCAGATGTTATCTTTACTCACTGGTGTTGGATTTTTCCTGCTTTTTCATGTAGACATTCAGTGCTATGAACTTTCCTATTAACACTGCTTTCATTGTGTCCCATAAGTTTAGGTATGTTGTATACTCTTTTATGTTTGGTTGGAATATTCTCTAGATGTCTGTTAAGTCCATTTGAGTAATAACATCTGTTAGTTCCCTTGTTTCTCTATTAAGTTTCTGTCTGTCAGACCTGCCCAGTGGTGAGAGTGGGGTGTTGGGATCTCTCACTATTAGTGTGTGGGGCTTAATGTGTTATTTAAGCTTTAGTAATATTTCTGTTACATAGGAGGTTGCCCTTGTGTTTGAGGCATAGATATTCAGTATTAGGATTTCCTCTTGATAAATTTTTCCTGTAACTAATATGAAATGTTCTTCTTTTTCTCTTTAGCTTGATCTTAGTTTGAAGTCTAATTTTTTAGCTATTAGAATAGCTACACCAGCTTATTTCTTAGGTCCCTTTGATTGGAAAATTTTTCCCAACCCTTTCGTATGAGGTGATGTCTGTCTTTAAGGTTGAAGTGTGTTTGCTGTATGCAACAGAATGATGAATTCTGTTTTTGTATCCAATCTGTTAGCCTGTGTCTTTTTATAGGTGAGTTGAGTCCATTTATATTAAGGAATATTAATGACCAGTGATTGTTAGTTCTTGTCATCTTAGTTTTTGTTGTGATATTATTGTGTGTGATTTTCCCTTCTTTGGGGTTCCTTAACTAGTTATAGTGTGCGACTTACCATAGTTTAGTAGAGGAGCAATTTATGAGAGATATGAAGTCATAGTGAAGAAACCTGAATCCCTATACCACATCTCTATGAGTCTTAACAATTTTCATGTGAACACAATGTGGAAACCTTTTATTTTGTTATTCTTCCTTTAATAGTTGTATCATCTGTCACCCTGAACACAAGCCATGTGAACATAAGGAATATGGAAAGAAGCAATGTACCTCTGTTTCTCCCAGGACATTTAAAAGCTGTATAGTAGTCCCTACTATGAGAAGACATGATGGCTGTGATACGAGTTCACAATTAATTGGTTTTCCACCTTCAGTGACAATACATCGACACTCTCACATTAGAGACACACCTTATGAGTACAAGGAATATGGAAATTCGTGTGCCTTTACCAGATTACTTTGTACATGTAGTGTTACTAGCACTACAGGAAAATGTTATGTATGCAATCAGTGTGGTAAAACTCTGAATTCTTCCAGTTGTCTTCAAAGATGTGAAAAAAATCACATACAAAAAAGAAGTGATAAATGTGGGCCTTGTACAAAAGACTCAAACCATCACGGGTATTTTCAGAGACACAATACAACCAATGAGGTAGAGGATATTTATGAATGTAAGCAACATGATAAAACATTTATATCTGACTACTCCTTAAAAGTACACAAAAAACCTCACTTGGTAGTAAGACCCTATGAATATAATCAAAGTGATAAAGCCTTTCCATGTCACAGTCTTCATCAAGTACATAGAACTAATATTAGAGAAAAAAGGCATGAATGTCATCAATGTGATAAAGCCATTGCACATTGCAGTTATCTTCTAAAACATGAAAGAACTCATACTGAAGAACAACATTATGAATGTAATCAATGTGGAAAAGCCTTTTCAGATAAGAGTACTCTTCATAGGCATGAAGGAAGTCATATTGGAGAGAAATGTTCTGGATTTAATCAAAGTGTTAAAGCCTTTGTATATAAAACTCCTCATGGGCACAAAAGAAGTCACACTGGAGAGAAACTTCATGAATGTGATCAATGTGGTAAAGCCTTTGCACGTAAAAGTCATCTTCATATACATGAAAGAAGTCATACTGGGGAGAGACCCTATGGATGTAAGCAATGTGGTAAAGCCTTTGCATATAAAAGTGTTCTTCACCGGCATGAAAGAAGTCATACTGGAGAAAAACCCTATGTATGTAATCAATGTGGTAAAGCCTTTCCATGTATAAGTGATCTTCGTAATCATGAAAGAAGTCACACTGGTGAGAAACCCAATGAATGTAATCAATGTGGTAAAGCTTTTTCACGTAAAAGTCATCTTCACAGGCATAAAAGAAGTCATACTGGAGAGAAACCATATGGATGTAATCAATGTGGTAAAGCCTTCGCATGTAAAAGTGATCTTCATAGGCATGAAAGAAGCCATAGTGGAGAGAAACCCTATGGCTGTAATCAGTGTGGTAAAGTGTTTGCATATAAAAGTCATCTTCACAGGCATGAAAGATGTCATACCAGAGAAACCCTCTGGATGTAATGCATGTGGTAAAGCCTTTGCACATTTCATTCATGAAAGAAAGCATACTGGAGAGAAACCCTCTCAATGTAATCAATGATGTGAAACCTTTGCATGGAAAAGTCATCTTCAAATAAATGAAAGAAGTCATATGAGAGCAATTCTGTGCATGGCAACAATGTGGTAAGCCCTTTCCACATAAAAATCATCTTTAATACATGGAAGAAGTCATTCTGGAGAGAAACCCTATGCATATAGTCAATGTGGTAAATTCTTTCAACATACTGTATTTCAACAATATGGAAACAGAATAATTTGAAGAATAAAATCAATTTGCAAATTAAAATGGTACTTGTGGTATTATCCATTAGTTTTAGATTATGCTACTTTATTCAGAAGACTAAATACTTGTTCTTTACATTTTCTCTAAAACAAATGCCAGGAAATGGTGCAGGAGAATTGTCTGTGTTCTGTCAATCATATTTTAAATAAATGCTGATTGGCCAGGCAGGAAGTATAGGCAGGAAACCAGACAGGAAGTAGAAGTGACAGGAGAATTCTGGGAAGAAGGAAGCTCTTCCCCCAGTCCTGCCCAGACCACGGAAGAAGCAAGATGTAATCTGTCCTGCTGAGAAAGGTACTGAGCCATGTGGCTAACATAGATAAGAACAATGGGTTAATATAAGCTACAAGAGTTAACAAGAAGCCTGAGCTAATGGGCCAATTAGTTTTATAACTTATGGAGATCTCTGTGTGATTTTCTTTGGGGATAAACAGCTGTGGAAACCAGGCAGGACAGAAAACCCCAACAAGCAGGCCCTCTCATGTTACAAGGAAATTTTATTAGTGGGTAAACATGGTTACTGCTAAGATTGATGACCTGAGTTCATTCTCTGAGAGATCCATATTACTCGTACAAAATTTTCTCCGATTACTATACTTAGGTTTTATGCACACCCACACATTAGCATATACATAGTTTTGAAACTGAAATAAGGGCCAACGAGCTCACTCACCACTTTAGGACACTTACTGCCAAACTCGACTGACTCAGTTAGTTCCCACATAGAGGAAGTAGGCAATAGACACCTATAAGTTGTCCTCTGATTGGCACATTCACACCATGCCACTGCTGTTTGCATGCCTTTTTTTTCGTTTTTGAGACTGGGTTTCACTGTGTAGCTCTGGCTTTCCTTGAACTCATTCTGTAGGCTATGCTGACCTCGAACTCACAGAGCTCTGCCTGCATCTGCCTCTCATGTTTGGGAACTAAGGACATGTGACATTACCACCCAGTCACAGTTAATTTTTTTAAAAGAGGAAACTTACAAAGCTAAGTAGATAATCAAAATATTAAGAAAATGAAATGTGATGTACCTATTAAAATTAATTTATTGAAAAATTCCTAGAAGTATTAATGTTTTAAAAAGATGCTTTCTGTTTAAATCTTATTTTCTCATTGTCTGGTTCAGAAATAAGTTATTTAAAAAAACATTTCATCTTGGTGTAGTGCTACATGCTTATAAACCCAGCCCTTGGGAGAGATTGGCAGGTGAATCTCTCTGGATGACACATCCTGCTCCCCCTTGGCCAAGTTGGAGGGAGTTTGAAAGTAGTCTGGCCCAGATATTGAGTTTTTGGATGGCCATGGGTATATATATAATCCTGTGTCCAAAAATGCAAAAAAGAAATCTGAAAAGATGACTGCTTTTCCAGGGGACCCAGGTACAATTCTCAGCACCCACCCTCTTGATGATTACATAAGAGAGCCTGTGGAAAGTTAACTTACTTTACCAATTCCTTCCTGGCCTCACGAACTGAGATTGCTATTTCCAGTGCAATATCAGTAAAATCAAAATGTTTAACATCTAATTGTGCAATGGCCAATCTACCTAAAGCTACAGAAGGAGAGATGTCATTAGCCTGTCATCACATATTATCCTGAGAGTCAAAAATAACTACAGGTATCTGAACTCTGACCAAAAACAGTCATTTTTGTGTCATTTTGATTGTTAATTGCCTTTAAGCTTATTTTTCCCACTAAATTGTTTCCTATAGGCTTTATATCACAAGAGCTTAAATCTTTGGAATGGATTTATTTACAAGATAATAGCCAGAAATTACCAGATAGCCAATGGAATCTCTATAGCCTGTTGTATCTTTGGCAAAATATCACATTACTGCACTGTATTGATTACATTATGCAGCAGATAGTAATCACAAACTCATTGGTAACATATATTGCGTCAGAGGATGGGACATTAACCAAAATTCAACATCCTCTCTCATCGAAATTCTTAGGAATCCAGTGCTATGTGGCTTAGAGAGATGTTCCTTCTAATGTGAAGGACAAGTTACAGCACCCATCCCCTTCCACCACCAAGAAAGAATCACACCATTTAGTTGGCCTGTTTGGATTCTGGAGACAGCACATTTCTTTCTTGGGTGTGTTGTTTCAGCCCATACAACAAGTGACTTAGAAAGTTGCTAGCTTTGTGGGGTGGACTGGGAACAGGCCTTCAATTGGTCCCAGCTGCTGTATAGGCTTCTCTACAACAACTAATGGTATTCAAAGTGTCAGTGGTAGATAGCAATTCTCTTAGGAGCCTTTGCTGGTCCAAAAAAGAGACCTCTGTGATCTTGGAGCAAGGTTCTACCACCATCTGTACACAACTATTTTCCATTTTCGAGACAGCTGTTGGCCTGTTCTTCAATCTGAGTGGAAACCTGAACATTTGACAGTGCACTGCCATCATATTATCATGCAACCTGAGCTGCCTGCCCATCATAATCTGGGTGTTCTCTGACCCACCAAGTCATAAATTAGAGCATAAGCAGCAGTGATCTATTATCAAATGGAAGTGATGTATTTGTGATTTGACTGAGCATGTAAAAAGAAACAAGCAAGTCACACGGGAAGTTGCCCAAATGCCTATTAGAATTCCCTTTGCTGACAAGTATTTACTATAGAATCAGGGAGGTTCGTGGGCCTGGTAGGGTTGGAATCAGAGCGGGGCCACAGTGTTGGGGTGCTACTGTGGGTGCAGGTGGTGCTAGAGACTTGGATGAGGGTTAAAGTTTGGGGAAACTTAAAGGAAAATAAGAACAGGATCCAGTGGGGCATTCATTAAAGTGGGTGGGGCCAGGGCAGGCAGGGGCATTTTGAGCTGAGCCACATCAAAGGAGGGACCAGCAGCGGGCAGAGCAGAGGCTGGGACAGACAGGAATGAGAACTACAAACGCAGCAGTGAGTGAAACCAAGGTGGGTGGGCTGGACTTGATTAGTTTGGCCAAGTCTGTCAATGTCAGGCCAACCTTGACATAGAAGAGATACACACAGGTAACATGATGCATTCACAACACCTTTGCCACAGCCAACTCCCACAAACAAGCACCCATGAAGACTTCGCCAAACACACACATTCAAAAAGGGCAGCAATACTGACACATCTCACGTGCTCTACACATAAACTATATACCATAAACATATAGTCCTGTGTACAGTTAGTGTTAGCAAGATGGACTAGCCAATAATGTGGCCTGCTGCCAACACCCAGTGACCTAACTTTGCACCTCACATGACAGGAGAGAACCAATTCTCAAGTTGTCCTTTGACTGCCACCTATGCACTGTGGCATTATGTGCACCTGCCTGCAGATACACAGAAAAGAAATAAAATGTGATTTAAAAAATCCTTTCAGTACATAATTACACAAACATTCACAAAGGTGATCATCTTTACAAAGGTGCTGGGATTCAAGCTCAGAGCCTTGCTCCACCTGAGATGCAGCCAGTATGGGCTGGGCACACTGCCAGACCACATGACCTGGCTTCAGAGACAACTGGTGGAAGTAGAATCCAGGAGTGAGGAGAAGAATGAAGACTTTCACATGAGTGTCTCCTGCCACCAGGCTCTCCTTTAGGCATATTTCTACATAAACATTATCATCTTTCTGTTTTTGTCTGCAAATAAGGTCACTGATCATTAGGCAAGATGAGAAAATTATCTCCAGTACTTTGGAGTTACATATGTGAGCCACCATGTGGGTCTTGGAACCTACACAGTATTTTCTGCAAGAAGCACTAAACTGCTGAACAGTCTCTCTTCCCTTTTTATTTTAGATTTAATTTATGGATTAAATTATTATTTTATTCTTGTCTTTGTGCATGAATATGCATATTACAGCTCAAAAGTTATGACGGGCTATGAGACCCACTCCTCTCTTTCTACCATGTAGGCCCTAAGGACCAAACAATATCCATCTGTCTTGGCTGTAAGCCACTTTACCTGCTGTGCCATTCTATAACTTCCACTGAGCCCTTTCTCTTTGTGGTTAATCATTGTTTTGGGGGCTTGGTTTTTAAAATAGGCTCAAGAAATTCAGTTCAGAATCCAGAGCCTTCCCTGAGGTAGAATGCCATCAGTTCAGCATGGAATGACTGAATCCACCCAGGATCCAATCCCCTTTGGGGTCTAAATGTCCTTAGAGTTTTATGTGGGCTAGGGCCACAAATGTAGTGTGAGGCTGTCTGTATGAAGAGAGATATGGACACGATTGAAGCCCACATGACTGAAAGGGTCCAGGAATAGGAATATAAAAATAAATATAAAGTTGTAAGCCTAGAAGAATGAGAAGAGACTGTCAACAGTTTTCTCAGCAACTTAAGGATTAACTATTAAGAGTGGGTTACTCTGCTTTACAACCCAGAGCTCTATATACAAGACCAAAGCATCTCTGAAAACTGAGCTAGCCTATGGATATGAGCCGAGTCAAGTTTTTAGGAAATAGATATATGGCCTCTAGGTTATGCATTATCCCTGCTATGTGAAACTGGCAGCATCAAAGAGAAGGGACAGGGCTTCAGTAAACATTTTTAGAAGTACCAAAAAAGGCAATAGGTTAAGCACAAACATTAGTTTAACTGAAAAATGAAGATTGTAAAGTAAGGCAATCTGTATCTGAGTTTTACCTTGAGATTGTGTGAGAAGATTTTTGCTATCTTCTAAGTTCCCAGCCTAAGAACCAATTATTCTCATTTAGTAACCTGATATTACTAGCAGTCCCTTTTCTAAATAACTGTTAAAAGCATCTGTTTCCTTGCAATTAGTGGCTGTAATCTCCTCTGGAACATATTTCATGATAACTGCCTAGTTACCCATGATATTAGAACCCACTCCCTCCTTCCCATTACCCGATATCTACCCCATTTCCTTCCCTAATAAACAAGACTTGATCAGAAGACTGTCTTGTCTCCATCCCTTTCAACTCTTACTCCCCTGCTTAGGGTCTCCATTGACTGACCTGCAGGTTAGGGGCAAGATTGTAAAAATTTCTTTTTTCAGAC